CCCCCATACTGCAATATATAATATAAGAGCTCTTTGTATTAAGTACATCTCGGACAAACAACATGCTCCAGTGAAGTACTGAGCACATTCTTCCCCGCACACTGTGTTGGCCTGAGAGCCATCTTCCATGCTACTGTTTCCACAGAACCAGTCCCAAATGCCTTGAACTCTTACCTGATATTTCTGATATCGCCTTTGATCTCGCTGTGTTTCTATTTCTCCAAGCATGACATGAAAGCAACATTCCTGTAGTCTTTTACATTTGAAATCAGCTATATTTCAAAGCTCTGATGCCATCAGGACAACTTTATATCATCTCCAATGAAATATATCTGCTCAACACATGTGAAACAGATCTTTTGTTTCACTACTCGGTTTAAAGCCAGCTACATAAATAATTGAACAAGATTGTGTTTTGTAATGACGCCTAGGTATTTGTCTGTCAAATCTTTAAACGCCAAAAGCCTGTCACTGACCTTCTGCTTCAGGACGCTGCTGAATGATTGCCTCTCCTCAGCAAACAGCTTTAGTGCACACTGCTGCTGCTGCCAGGCATGAGAAATACAGGAACGCACACCAAAGAGGAGGCTTTATATTCACACTCATCTTGCTTTCTGTGTAGATTCCCTTGCCACTCAGAGTGGGGAAGCGGCAGAAATTCATCTATCAACCAGCTCTGTGGACGGAAAGGCTGCTGGTAAGGGAGACCACAAAAGCAAGGGAACCCCAGCTTTACACCCTGCAGCACCCTGGCAGCAGTGATATGCAAGGGCTCAAGAATCAGGCGAAGAATCACACTGAAAGGACTGGAATTTCCAGGACCTGCTTCTCTTTTTGCTTTTGATTTATATTTCACTGAGTTTTGTATTTTCAAAATTCAATGGAGGAAATTAAGAGGACAATGATGAAGAAATGCAAAAGGAAAGAAATCAGGTCAGAGAAAGGAGAGCAACATCCAGTTTCTGGCTGTTAAGCCAACCCAAAATCTCTTCAGACTTCACTGAGCTTCATCACTGATTAAAATTAATCTCTTAAAGATATTAGGAAGACCTAATCAAGGGAGAGGGAAAATACACTCATTTCCTTTTCCCCTGCAATCACTACACTACAAGGCCTGCCTTCTGTTCTATTAGCTCTCTAGCTGCATGAAATTGTCCCAATATGGGCGCACATTTTAGTCATCATCAAAGCAGCTGAAAACACTGTTCCTGGGGTCCCTGTCTCTCCACAAATTATCAGTCATTGCAGGAAGGTAAGCACCAGCCTTAACCCAGCAGCATCTCTTAGGAGTAAAAGCCCATGATGCCAGTCACCTGAGTACACTTCCCGCCAAACTCCAAATTCCATATTTTAGTTACCACTTTTCCCAGAAGCTGAAGGAAAGCTGATGAAATTCAATGTTTCAGAGATGCCACAGTTTGGATCCTCCTGGTGTAAGAGTGATTGGTATCAAGATGAACTAAGTGTATTAGGGGGTTTAATATACCAATGTTGGGACGCTAGGAAAGGAGACAGCAATATGTTCTCCTCAAGCATTTATCATTGTTTAATTAACTTACATTTAATCTTAATGTATGCCTCTGCAAGTTGTGTCCAGATGTTCTGTGTGCTAAGCCTGAGTACCATCTCTAATTTCTCTCTAATATTTTGAAATATCTCTCTCTGATACTTGGGACTGGAGCATCTCTCATGTGAGGAAAGGCTGAGAGAGCTGGGTCTGTTTAGCCTGGAGAAGAGAAGACTGAGAGGGGATCTCATCAAGGCTTAGAAATATCTAAAGGGTGGGTGTCAAGAGGATGGGGCCAGACTCTTTTCAGTGGTGCCCAGTGACAGGACAAGGGGCAACGGGCACAAACTGGAACACAGGGAGTTCCATCTCAACATGAGGAAAAATGTCTTCACTCGAAGCACTGGGACAGGCTGCCCAGAGAGGTTGTGGAGTCTCCTTCTCTGCAGATATTCAAACTCCACCTGGACGCGATCCTGCACAACCTGCTCGGGGTGATCCTGCTCTAGCAGGGGGGTTGGACTAGATGAGCTCCAGAGGTCCCTTCCAACCCCTACCAATCTGTGAAAGTATCAGGGAAGAAAAGTTGTGATGAGCCCCAGGGCTTCACTGCTGCGAAACTCATTTACATAAGGCTTACTATAGTTATTCCTCAAGTGTTAAAACTGCACTGAAATAAAACAGATGCAGTAACAAAGGTATAACTGACAGTCATATTGACCGATATGCTTTTTGATTCAACTCTATAAATATTTACTCAGTACAATCCTTTAGAAGATTAACTTGGAAAGTAGTTCAAGTTCAAATCCCTGTTTCATTACAATGCCAAAGGAATATTCCCCAAACACCACACATCCAAGCAGGAAGTACAGGTAAATACTAAACTTGCCCGGAGCATTGGGAAACAATCAGGAACATACCACATGCACAAGCAACAGTGCAGGAGTGCTGGGCACTCAGCTACCATTCTCTTAAGTTGAAGGATTTATTCCCTTGTGGAGTTTCTCTTTCATGAGCATCACTCCGTACCACAAACTGATCAGCACTCCCGAGCCTCACAGCAGAAATAGAAAACAACTCAGCTTTCTTTGTGTAAAGCTAAGAAGGGAATTAGAGACCTCTTCTCTCTCTCCTCTCCATCCCTCCTAGGATACCAAAAGTGGTGTGTGTCTGGTTTCCAGGCAATTTGACTAGTTTTATACAGTTTTGGAGTGGAAGCTCCGTAAGGTCACTAGTAAAGCAAACTCACCTGGAGAACTAAAACCACACTGAGCTTTTCCCATTGCTGCAGGTCTACAAGATTCCTTTGGTCACTTAACCTTCCTTAAGCCTTAAACTTCCTCCCACCTTCCATGCAGCATGAGCAGAGGGGTAACCAAGGCATGGGGCTGAAGCTCATTACACATTTTTCAGTGCTCATGTGTTAGATGGAACTGACTCCCACCCTTAGTCACAGACTAACATAGTGAAGAGAACATCCGACCTCTTATTCTCGGAGCAGGCTTGCATTTTATGTATCATATAGTGATATCTCTGGCTAATAAAATTCCTCCCAGTGGTAAGATGATTAAAGTTACCTCAGGCTGAAGGTCCCAGAGGCCTTCACCTGTCTTCAAGCCCTTCCAGAGCTGCTCAGGAAGTGGGAAGGTATAATTTAGCCACACAACATTTGATGCAGAACTTAATTTACTTGTCAGACTATAGTAAATGAAGTAAAGACACACACTGCTACAACAGGTGAGAAGCAGAACTTTCAAAACTAATTTTCAAATGGAGAAAAGAATCCTAGAAGGCACTCATGAAGCTACTCAGCATTTTCTGAACAATTCAGGGAAAACCCCAGCAATTCCCATGCTCGGTAAGAAACCTACTAGAAGAATTCTTTTTAAAATTATTTATATTTCTTTTGCACAAAAATGATTATTATTGTCATCTCCAACAACACATAAAAATCCGTACTAAAAATATGAGTTATGATCAGTCCAAGTCAAATTAACAACTATTTCAGAAAGTAAAACGTGAACCAAATCTTAATTACCTAAATGTGCCAAATTAATTCAGATCTGTGAAGGTGGCTTCTTGGCTAGGACAAGAACACACAGATGAAATCTCAGGAACACGGATTTAAATTTAGCAGAGAATCTGGCTAAAGAGTTGGAACACAGTCAAGATTTGGATGCTTAAAATTTAGAAAAAATCAACTCCTCATATTATTTCACAAATTTAACATACACACTGTACATCACTCAGCCATCCTGCTGTCACCCACTACAGCAAAATACTGCCATTATTTTGATGGCATAGTGTAACTCTCTTGCAGTAAACAGACTAATCTGTGTTAAAATTATAACAGCAAAGAACTAATTCAGAAACAGTTAGCACAGGAAAAATGAAGCAAGTTAGTGGAGAATATTTGTTCTCTAAGAGCCTAACATCATGCATAAAAGATGGTCAGACCCCGAGGGAGTCGGGTGTACACACACTGACCATGATATGATGCACTGAATAGTAAAACATTACTTACCCACTGTTCTCCTGTAATCAAACTAGCTGCCTAATCATAAATGTTCTAATTTTTCTATCTGTCAAACTCATGTCTGCTTAATTGTAGAAAGAAATAGAAAACCTAATATAAACACATAGACATACAGAAATAAAACTGATCAAGAATGTGGAAATTGCTGTACCAAGTGACCACTTGATACTCAATCCATTGAGTTCAAGTTTCTCGTGTGTTTCTAACTAGGCAACAACACCCAATAAATATCCCTTCCTGATCCTTCAAGACTATATCCTGAAGCATAAGAACTACACTCCTATCTAAGCTGGCTGAAATGCAATGTATTAGTGTTCATAACAGTATTCAGTCATCTTCAAAATCTTGTTTCACTACTTGACATCTTCAGGCAATTAATGTTTTGAAACATAGTTAGTTACATTTTAAATATTAAATCAAATAATCTGATTAATTTTATAATTTCACTGGCATTGCAGGGCAAAATTATGTCCTCTCTTTCCAAAAAACCAAAGCAAACTAATATCAGTTCCAGCTAAGCTATGGTCTTTATAATTTGGAAGAAACAGCTGTAGGTTTTGCCTAGTTTATTATTTGCCTATAGAGTTCTTTCCGATTCTATTAAATGAACTTTTGATTTAATTTCAGCCCCAAATTCAAGTTCTATAAATATAAGCTCTAACTGAAATGTTTCCATGAATACAAAGAAGCTTTCAATAACAACATTTGCACAGAAGGAATGAAGTCCCCTGACACATCACGTCCAAGGTTTCACTGTACCAAACCTTCAGTTTTCCTTTTGCAAACATTAAAATATTCAAGTGGACTAACATAACCTGAGAAAGGAAACAGAATTTTAAGGTAAACATGGAAAGAAAATGTCAGTCCTTTTAGCTCAATCCATTTGGACAAGTTTCTTTTTATGAAATTATTTGAGGAGTAAGCACCAGTAAGGCCCATCCATTTAATTACTCTTACCTCAATAATATACAAAACCACATTCTTGTAAAAGCAATAGAGTATGCACTTGGTAACTCGATTGTAACTCCAAGCTCCATGGACCAACAGCAGCTTCTCCAAGTAGGAAAACTGAAAGACAGAAAACAAGTTTTTACATATATGAAGAACTGTTTAAAAAAAAATTGGTTAAACCCCTGCCCCTCACAAAAAACCCCACAAAACTCAGATTAGCTATGAAAGCTGTTCTTCAAACACAATATTTAAATAGCTTAGCAGAATATTCATGCAAAAAAACACCACTTAAAAATTTTACAGGAAAAGCCTTTTTTTGTAGCAAAACCTCTGACTGTTTTTAAGTTGTCTTCACCAGCTTTAAACAGCAAGAAGTCTTCAATTATATTACTATCCTGATAGCAAAATCAAGCAAGGTTAACATAATTTAGCCTTGTTGATTGAATATAAATGTGAACTCTTTATTTCATGGTCAAAGAAGATTCCCGTGTTTGAGGGCTTACAAGATTCAGAATCTCCTTTCCCTGTGTTAAACAAACAGTCTGGTAATTAGAACTGTCTTGAGCAGAAATAAAATGCACAAGGGGGAACACAAGTGGAAAACTAGATGCACAGAGTCTTTTATAGAGAATGAATGTTTACATTAACATTTTCAGCCCACAAAACGTATGCAATCATGTGTTATACAAAGCACCTAAAATATCGTATAAAGAAGGACCATTTGCCAAAAAGGGCAAGTAAATGAATCTTGTAAAAATGAATACATTTTAATGCTAGTTTGAACCATGGATACAGGTCAAATTCAGCTTCTCAATTCAGCAGTTTTGAAAATGGACTTTTACAGCAGCAGTCTCACAATGCAGCCTAGGAAATGCATCACTTTCTAGTCTTGGCTTTGTCAGGGAATTTTTTATGGCCTGCAGCTTTCCTCTTTTTTCCAGTTGCATACAACTCAAACTGGTGACTAGATTTACCATTCAGCACGTGTGTACCTGAAGGGTTCTTGGACACTAAGGTGGGACCATTATTTGCTTTGCTTCCTGGGCCACAAAGTGACTTGATAGGAAAAACTTCCTAAATTTAGATTCTAGATAATTTATTTTAACCAAAACTTATTTGAAATTGAAAGCTACAGTAATGAGTTTGGACTGTCATGAGATAGCTCTGCTCCCATGATTGCCAGCACTGAAATCACTGAACCACAAATCCTGTAAGAACTGCCTCTCCCTCATGCATCAGCGACTCACATTCGTTAGGATATGCCAGCAAGAAAGCAGAGAAAATAAAAGTGAACCAAGCTTCACGGTTCAGTCTGTGCCCAACTGGAGTCAGGACTGAAAGTGGGACACTCACAAGGGAGCAGCTGACCTACTAGACACCTAATGCCACATGCAGCACAACTACAACTTTCCTCATCAAAATTCACTACAACTTATCAACAGTGATGGGAAGCTTGCCCCTACATCCTGACAAGTCAGCCCAAACACCTCTTGCAGAGACTAGTTAAGCACACCCTAAAAACTTTTATGCTGGCATACTTAAGCAACTGTAGGGACAGGGCTCTACTAAGACACTGCCCTTGTTTGGGCACTACTGTATTTATGGAGTTTTAAATCAGAAAGGAACACTACAACCATCTGGCCAGCCTACTTGCAAAACAGTTTCTGTAAGTTTTTGGTTGTCTCTGCATCAACCCTAGCAGAACTTCTTTTTTTATACAGAGATTATCTTTCTAAAAGATAATCTCCATCTTGACTAAAGGATGAGGTGATGCCACATGTGTGGGGGGTGGGGGTGTTAGGACAAGGAAAATGCATCCAAAATGCAAGCCAAAATTTCCAAAGAAACTTTAAGAAAGAAATTTCCCTAGTTAAGAAAACAAAAAAACAGTCCCTGGATATCAGATGCTCTCTGGATTAAGATGATAAAGCCTTTTACTGAGGAAAAAAGTTATTAAATTCTACCTACTACTGTCTGTCTAAACAGTTAGGTCATTTGATTTGGGAATTCTCTAAATATTGATCACTGGTGCAATATCATTTCAAGGGAAAAGGATAATTCAAACAGATGCTCCTTGCACCTGTGGAAGCTATTTGGAGTAGAGTCAGACACAAGTTGCCTTTTTGTTTTTGTTTGGTTTATGCTTTGATTCCCCCTGGAATCTTGAACAAGTTTCTATAGAAACTTTCTCTTCCATAAGTGCCTACTTCTGGCACCACTGCATTTGAAATACCATTTGAACATGAGATGCTACATTATAGCAGTCGTCTTAAATTACTCAATGGGAACATACTCTGCCTTCAAGGCATGCACATACAGTAACGCTTTAGTGGGAGTTATACATCTGCGCTGAAAGAAATATACCCCGCAGAGATCAAGTTTTTCTTTTGAACACTTTTTTGAAACACACATTACCATTGACTATTAGTCCCCTTTACAGGAGAGATTGCTTTAGGTTTTCTAATCAGCACAAAGCTCTTCTATACAACCATGAAAAGTACAGTTCCACAGTGCTTTACTAATTTTTGAAAGTTAAAATTCTGTGCTGATGTGACTAGCTTTTATTTCATATTGAGCTAAGAAGATTCATTGCTATTGTCAGTAACTCCCTGACTGGAATTTAACCCAAGAGCAACTTACTTCCACATTCTAACACTAAATCCAAAGACGGGGGTTTGGTTAATGCAGAAGCAATACACGAACATGGAATTACTTCTTCAGGTTTAACGTTACTGCAACACAAAAGGAATTAAGTGTGTAGGGCCCTCTATGGACAAAACTCTCACTGCTTATGCTTACTTATTAAAATTGAAGTAATAAATGATCTGAGGAAGTCTAAGTAAAGAGCATTCAATTACGTTATGCAGTAGAAGCAATATATAGCTTACAGGAGTAAGAAAGTCATTACAAGGTACCACAGACTTTATGATTGTGGCAGTTCCTATAATGCTATGTATTTGGAATGTACTACTGTTTATGACAGAATAAGCCCTCGATAAAATAGCCTAAAATTTTCAAGATAAATTTAGTGAAAAGTCTCAGCTACTCAAGCCTGATACCCAGCGTGCTTCATCAGACCACAGAACGGAGTGGCAAATAAGACCGCCACTTTCCTTCACAGCAGGGTTAACACAAGAGTTAACGTAACAGCTAGCTGTGCAAACAGCAACATTATCCACGCCTTTTCAAAACCTCACCTTCTACCAAAACTATCAAGAGATGATAATATTTCATAGCACTTGGGAGAGCAAATCTGCCTACACCCTACCAGAAGAGAAGATCAGCTGATGTTCACAGATAACTGAGGAGACAGTGGATCATCTCGGGTTCCTGTCAGCTCCATCTCTTCTTGCCCTGTGATCAGTCTCAAACACATACACAGAGCACCTCAGCCGTAAATAGCATTCCAAAGATGTCCAGCAACTGAAGCATCTCCTTTCTTTCTTAGGTTTCTTTAAGTCTTTATTCTAAATCTTGTTTTCTTCAGTAAAATAAAAAAAGGTTTTTTGCTGTCCTCTTTAGCTGAAGTAATCAGTGCTGAATTTGATGGGATAGTGTAGGAGCACTCACCCCAAAATATCACTCAAAACATACCTGAAATGAAAATGTTGGCCAGCTCTCTAAAACTGTGACCAATTCTTGGATACATCATGGGGTTAGGGGGAATAAAAAAAAAGAGGAGATACCTCAATATAAGAATTTCCAAACAGCCAAACTCTTACACACCTGGTTATAATGCCTACTTATAGCAAGAGAAAAGAGCTTGCACCAAGAGAAAGAAGTTACACTTAAAAGCATGTTAACATAGGCATCACAAAGTGCTTCTCCCTGGTTACTGAAGAACCAAGACATTGTGCAGCTGTCAGGAGGAAACTGAAATTTTGAGAGGAGATGGAGCTTTGCCCTGAAGAATACAAAAGTGTAATAATGAATCCCAAAAATACATCCAAGATATCCATTTTTAGATAGCTGTCCTGAAAAGGAAACAAGCAGAGATGCTCCTAGCTTGAAGGGTAGGAGAAGCCATCAAGCACTACACGGCCGCACAGCGCATTTCTGACAACAGGATACAGCAGTTGCTCTTTTTTGCCTCTGACCTGTGCAATCGCGTAATCCGAGCAATTGGTTGCTTGCATTCCCTCGTTGCCACTGATCCCCACTCCAACGTGAGCTGTCTGGATCATTCCTACGTCATTGGCACCATCCCCAATGGCAAGTGTTATGGCATTGACGTGTTTCTTGACCATGTCTACTATTTCAGACTTCTGTAGAGGAGATACTCTGAAAAGGAGAGAAAAAGGTGTCAGTCTCTCACATGCTGAGCTATGTCCCTTTCCCAAAAGGACAGCTGTAATCTACATTTAGAAGTAATCAAAGGGCAGTTGCTGGGAAGTTTCTTTATTCAACAACTAAGCTTCAGAACCTGTGCCAAACTATTTCGGAAGGAGAAAGTAGCTTTAAAAACAGTTTTGCATTTATCTACTTGCTCATATTTTATGCAAAACAGACCAAATACACGTTTTCCTCCCCCAGCCCCATCGGATACGCTTCAGCATTACACCAGTGATGTTATATTGGGAACACCAGAGACGGGAGTTTCCTCTTCAACTACGACCATTTACAGATGAACAGTGCCGGCTTCCCTGTCTCCTGTCAGCACAGTGTCTCCATCCAGGAGGAGGAAGACCACTAATATGTTCAGAGAGTAAATCAAACGGAGACTTTTTCAGTGGTTTGGCAGAAGGTACTGCAGGCTTACATATTGCCTCCTCCAGCTCACATCCCCCCTTGCCAGGCCATCTTTCCAATCTCAGACTATGCAGCCAGGATCAGAAAGACTAAGGCCTCTCCCTGATCTCATGTACACCTTGTGTGCTGATGTAACTCTGACTTCAGTGATGATGCTACTCAATTCCAATTCAAAAACCAAAGGCTGACTCCATGACATCTGAATATTCTTATCAGCTTCATTGGTAGTTACTTTAACCTCATTTCACATCAGTTCTAGTTCAATAAAAATTCATGGAATTCAACAAACTAGTCTAAACCAGGGAGAAGTGGAAAAATACTCAGGACTAGGTTACTAAATTGGATAAGACACCCAGAATGCTCTTTTTTCATGGCAAACGTGGATCAGGTTACCAAATCATATGAGGTATTCTGGAAATACCTACATGTAGATTAAATATTTCCATTCTAACCCCATCTGTACAAACAACCCTAATTCCTTTCCCCATCAGTTTTAGTTAAAGTTCCAAATTATTTTATATTCCCTTGAATAAAGCTTTAGACAAAACTTTTCCACATCTCAAGTAAGCCACGTAACACTCAACAAAAAGAATGTAACTGATATCTAAAAATTTTACTATTAAAATAGGGGGAGAATGGGGAGCTTGGGGAATAGGGGAGACAGAGGTTTTTTTACATAACATTTTTTCCAGAGCCTACATCCTGTGGGAGCAACTTACACAGCATTTTAACACACCTGGCTGGATTATTGCTGATCAAAAAAAGTAGAATTATCTTGTTCAGCATTTGCTTTATGGCCTTGATTTTGTTTAGTGCTGATGACCTCTTAAAATAACTTGATGAGTAATTGGGGGAGAAAGAGTTCCTACAAAAAGTTTGCTGGGCTCAACATTCACATGTGAACTAAACCACCTAAAAAGTCTAGCAGCTGTCCCCTTCCTAAAAGCTGAAAACAGGAAAAAGTTGACTGGGCCATAAAGTTTACTTAATTCCATCAGATAGATTTATTAAGCAGTCAACTACCTGGCAATGAAAACACCACTTGGCACTGTAGGGGCCCAGTTAAATTATCAACACAAAACCCCAACACACTAACTAACCTACTGTGCATGACAAATGTCGACTTTAATTATAAACCAGCTTTGAATATAGACTGCATCAAATTTTAACTTCTCTCATACACACATACATTCATATACCCGCACACC